GCGACACTGAGGGTTGCGGTCTGTTGCCGGACACAAAAAAAGACAAAAAGGAAAAAAAAAACCCCACAAGACCAAAGCCCAAGGCCGCTCTTCCTTGGTTGCACCTTAGGAGACAGTCGCTGGCCAGCTGGAGGGAATAACCTGCCCTTTTCTGCATGAGTGGCGTGTAAGTGCATTTCTTGTGGGAGGGCGCCTCACAACACTGCTCCGCTGTTTCCTGCCATATGAGACCCTGCATTGCTGTAAAGCCACCACCAAAGAAAACTCTCACTAGATGTATTCCCTGACTTTGGACTTCCCAGCCTCTGAAACTTAAGCAGTAAATTTCATTTGCTTACAAATTACCCAGTTCCAGGTATTTTGTCATAAGCAACAGAAACAGACTAATAGAGATATTCTCCTACGTTTTTCCCCATAAGTATTTAATTTTTACTTTGTGTGTGTATATCTTTAACTCACAGATTTTTCTTTCATTCTGGTGGGTCGTGCAGGGGGTTAACATCTTCTCATGTGGATGCGTGAGTTAAAGCAAAGTGCGCTGGAGAATTAGGAGGATTGTAGGAAGGACCTTGTCTGCCATGCGAGTGAGAAGGAGCTGAAGAACTTTGTCAAAATACCACATTATACCCCATAAATTTATACAGTTATGATTTATCAATTAAACATAATATTAATATTATAAAATTTTTAAAGAATTGTAAGTAATAGAATCCTCAGCACATCTGAGTTTTGTCTCACAGTATAGGGACTATTTTTTTCTTTTTTTTATTGAAACAATTGATTATACATATTTGTGGGGTACAGAGTTGAATATCAATACCTGTGTACAATGTGTGATGATCAAATCAGCATAATTAGCATATTCATCATTACAAAAAGTAATCATTCTCTGTGTCCCTCTACCAATTTCTCACTAACCCTTGTCCCCCTCCCCTTTCCCACCTCTGGTAACCACAGTTCTGTTCTCCCATTGAAAGTTCAGTGTACTATTGTGATTGTGGGTTCTTTCTTCCTTCCTTTCTTTCTTTTTTATCTCCCACTTATGAGTGAGAACATGTGGTATTTCTCTTTCTGTGACTGGCTTATTTCACTTAACGTAAGTTTCTCCAAGCTCATCCATGCTGCTGCAAATGGCAGAATTTCATTCTTTTTTATGGCTGACTAGTATTCCATCCTGTATATCTACCACATTTTCTTTATTCAGTCATCTGTTACAGGCATTTAGGTTGGTTCCATGTCTTGGCTATTGTAAATAGAGCTGCAGTAAACATGGGAGTGCAGGTATCCCTTCCACATGATGATTTCCACTTCTTTGGATATATACCCAGCAGTGGGATTGCTAGGATCACATGGTAGTTCTATCTGTAGTTGTCTGAGAAAACTCCATACTGTTTTCCATCATGACTGTATGAATGTACAGTCCTACGAACAGTGTAGAAGGGTTCTCCTTTCTTCACGTCCTACCAGTATTTGTTATTCTCTGTCTTTTTTATAATAGCCAGTCTAATTGGGGTGCAATGATATCTCAATGTGGTTTTGATTTGCATTTCCCTGATGACTAGTGATGTTGAGCATTTTTTCATATACCTGTTGGCCATTTGTATGTCTTCCTTTGAGAACTGTCTATTCAGCTCCTTTACCCATTTTATTTGTTTTTTTACTATTAAATTTTTTTATTTCGGGCCGGCCCATGGCTCACTTGGGAGAGTGTGGTGATGATAACACCAAGGCCACGGGTTCGGATCCTATATAGGGATGGCTGGTTTGCTCACTAGCTGAGCGTGGTGCTGACAACACCAAGCCAAGGGTTGAGATCCCCTTACCGGTCATCCTTTTAAAAAAAAATTTTTTTTTTATTTCCTTGTATATTCTGGATATTGATTCCTTGTCAGATGTATAGTTTGCAAATATTTTCTCACATCCCACAGGTTGTCTTTCTGCTCTGTTGATTCTTCCCTTTGCTCTTCAGAAGCTTTTAGTTTGATATAATACCATTTGCTTATTTGTCTTTTGTTGCCTGTGCTTTTCACGTCTTATTCACAAGGTCTTTGCCCACTCCTACATCCTGAAGTGTTTCTCGTGTGCTTTCTTCTAGGAGTTTTATAGTTTGGGGCCTTATATTTAAGTCTTTAATCCATTTTGAGTTGATTTTGGTATATGGCGAGATGTGTAGGTCTAGTTTTATTCCC